ATACTAAAACATATCTTTACTTATAGTCAGCTTGAGCTTGAGTTTTACTTTTTTAACAAAGAAAAATATTTTTCCTTTAATTAATTTGTTGGTACTTAAATATTTTTAGTGGTGAAGTGTTTGATTTCATAGGAATAAATCAATACTATTTATCACGTTATCACGTCTAAATTAAAAACAACTAGGGGCTCGTCTACAATCTTTAAAATATGTGCACACGTAAAATACTAAGTGCATACCTGCCAACTTGTAATCTCTTCGAAGATGATTTACCCTAGTGATCGTAAGATTAATAGTAAATTATATTTAAATGCGAAAATTTACCTTCATTTGGCGTTAGCTTATACACAGATTATTATACATTTATATATATGTAGAATTAATTTAAGTGTAGTGGTGGCCAGAATCATTTTGAACTAAATTTATAAATGCAAAGAATAAATAGCAAACATACATTTTTCTATCACTTTAAATCTAATAATAAATTTTTACGCAAAATGCGTAAAAGTTTGCAGGTATGTAGGTGCTAAATCCGAATCGTGAAGCATACATCTTATATATTTCACATAACTAAAGGCAACTTTCTCATGAAATTCGCCATAGCTCAACGAAGACATTAAGTTTACATATGAGTGAGTTATAGAGATAGATGGTTAATTTTTATTTTGCTGCATGCCCATGGAGAGAGATCCGAGCTTTCTGGACATCGGATTAGCAATGAGAGTATTTCGTGGTTTTCACCTTCATTTTGCTCAAATGCTGATTAGTTTTGCTTAAAAACATTCTTCTTGGAGGTGAATATGACTTGGCTCTGTAAACATTTTGTCTTCTAGATTTGAGGCCATTAAGAAGTTGGAAAGGGGAAAAAACTGTATATCCACTGCGTGGATTAACTGTTTGTAAAATGGTAACCTAAATTATGAAGGGAAAAAAAATGAGAGTGGCGTAGTTAATCATGATCACGTAGTCTACCTCGACAGAAAAAATACCCAAAGCAGTTTTATAATTATTTTAATAACTAAAAAATGCCTGAAACTGCTAATTTTCAATTAAAGATAATTTATGTATTTTAACAGCTCTATTTTGTATTAAAACTAACAAAAATACTTTTATTTAGTTTTAGACATACTTTTAAATGACAAAATATTTTGACCACAATCAGCGCTATTAATTCTTTTTGAAACTAATACTGAACTTTCGCCAATTGAAGCGATAATAAAACATAGAAGCGACCAATAAAACATTTACTCCACGAGTGTCAAGCACACGCTACCACTGAATCGTTTTTGGGCGATTTTCAGATAAACAAGGTTAGATAAGACTTGATGCCTATTTTCCAAACTGCGGTTGCTAAACTTTTATTTCGTGAATATATATGTATTGATTATTTATGTGGATTATTTTTCAGATGTTACAAAATCATTAAAAATTCTCCTTTACAAAACAGTTAAGGCCCAATAAATATACCAAAGGAATTTTATAAGTTATGTCTTAAAATTATACACAAAACATAAAGATTATTCGACGTAGCAAAACCGAGGAACGAGCAAACTTTAAAGCTCATTTACTCAAATACATTAAAATGACACTTACCTGGTTCTTTCACAATTCTTTATATATATGTTCCTTAAAAACAAAAATTTTGGTTCTCAATTTTTCCCCAATTTTTTTTTTCTTTTTTTTTTATAAAATCTCCTCCTTATCTATTTATCTCCTTTTCCCATCCCTTTTTAAACAAAAACAAACGATATATTGTTGATCGTAATGTTTTATTTCAACCCAAACATCCATCCAGTATTTTTATTTATTTACTTGTTTCATTTATTATTTTCTGCCGATGGTATTTTGGATATAATTTGAAAACATATTTATAGACGAGTAATGTTAAAAAAAAGAATTCGAATAATTTGCATGCAAATTTTCATCTATTTCTCCAAAACTTATTTAGATTCATTTTGAAACAACTCTATAATTTTGCCTTATCATTTGTCAAACTTCCCCTTAAGGTAAATATTCAGAGATTCCACAGAATCATATAATTTTCTTTCAACTAAAACATCCATTATCAAAAATAATACTGTTCTCTAGAAATAACATGGATAAATTGTATACCCTATTTAGAGTTCTTCATTTATCCACTTACATACATACTTATGAAATGGATATTCTCTGAAACCGAATATCTTTAAATGGCCGTTAAAATGCATAAGAATTCACATCACGAGCATATTTCGATAACAATATGAAAAACGTTTAACATTTGGAGACGTTTATAGAGTTCTATTTTCTTCATATCAATTATTCATTTCTTTCTTTATACCATTTTCGAAAGAAGTAAACAAAAACGTAATACCACATTTGGGTTCCAGCCATAACACGAAATAATAACATTAATCTTTCAAACGACTTTCACGAACGGAAACGGTTCGTTCGAGGTAATTTCAGGAATTGTGTTTTGAAAAGTTTAAGAATCGATGTAAAGCTAATAGTTTAAAGCGTTATAGCTATTTTCTTATACTGCATATTCAATTTCGCATTGGTCTTATAAACTTTTCGAAAAAAATTATGTCGATTCATTAATGTAAAGTACAGAATAAAGACCTGACTAAATACATTCTTTCATTTTTCATTGTTCGGATCCAAAATTAAAAGTTCCTTGTTCTGTCTTCTTTTGTTTTATTTCTTATTTTGAAGTTTCCTATTACGGTTTATTCTTATTCCTCTAATGGCAATAAATTGCTAAAACGTCAGACTTTTAGTTATTAGAAATTAAATCTTCTTAAATCGTAATTTTATTACTAACTTAATTATTGAAATCTTCAGTTAGAAAATTCTCCTAAATTATAAAATTTCCTTCTCTCTAACTTCTATAAAATGATAGTTATCTTAAGATAAAATGCTTTATTGCTTAATACTAATTTTAATGTATATAATTTGTTTAAGTATAATTAAATTTAATATCTTGCTGCAAGAGTAAGTCTTGAAGCTTAATTCATCTTATTAAATTTAAATTACCGTATTATTTCATTGTACATCTCAGAATAAACTTTTAATATAATTTACTCATTCTTGCATATTTAATTCGCTAATATGAGTAGCATTAAAGATTATATACATACTGCTTAAATTTTGACTCCTTATAATTTAATAATCGCTTTAAGACGTTATAATGGGCTAAAGTAATTGTTACAAATCTTCAGTAAGTACAGTGTGTTAGATAATTAATGCCTCTTGTGAAACTTGTTGAAAAAGATTGAACAATTTAGTAATTATTTATATGATTAAATTTGTGTAATTGAAACCCGCTTAATTTGTTTTTTTTGGATTTCAAGCTTAATTTTTGATTTATGCTTCTTCAAGTAGTTTTTGTTCTTAATAAACTTGAGATAAGTATTTTTTAAAAACAAAAAAAATTCGTTTGGAACATAAGAATAGTAGTTTGTGACATACAAAAAAACTAAGCAATAAGTTTTAAAAAATATCAGAAGGATATAATCGCTTTATTAAATTAGGGAACAACAACAGCACAGTTGTTAGGCACTGACACGTCGTTGTGCAAGATTAAGGTTCTATCCCCAGTAGCAGCAAAAAGATGACCCACCTTCAGACTAACGGACACCAGTTTGCTCACCAAGTAAAGGTGACCAGTGTGCGATGCTGACCACATTGCCACCATCTTGCTCTAATTTCGAAATTGGGGAGCCTTTAAACCTCCATAATCCCCTGGGTCAATAACTGAAATCCAGAAGAGATCTACTTTTAAAATAGTCAATGGTTGAGTTAGGTCTTAAGAACAAGAGTCCTTACAAAAAATGGTCTCACTAATTTTGGAAGAAGGTGATGATTGACTTATAGCTCCTTGTTGGTCTTAACTCTTTGATCTATATGCCTTACCAATAAAAAACCAACTCCCTTTATCATGAATGTAAGCTTGCCTACCTTCCAGTGCTGTGAGCTGGACCTAAACATTGTATTTTATCTCTTCGTTGAACTAAAAGTTTTTTTCCTGGAGATCCATGAAAACATAGCTGGATGATGGGCGATAATAATGTTAATTATGAAAGCGATGAACTTTAAGGAGGCATACCAAGGCTTCAATGTGGACTTTTACATCCATCATTTGAGTAAGGTACATCTAGATCCCTCATGACCATCTCATATCATTCGTAATTATTTTTGTTCTTCTCTGTGTGTCTTTTTTGTGTGGAGAAACAAAGACTGAGAACAATGAGACAGGTATTAGAGTTTAAACAAAATTATCCCCTTCGTAATATTTAGTTTGAATGTAATATTTTTATTGTTTTTATATTTTACCCCAACTATTACTTAGAAAATATTTTTATTCGTAATATTATGTTGTCCGTTAGGTTTAATACGCAATATTAATAGAAAGCACTTCGGTATGTCTGAATATATCTACATTGTTTGGTATACATAAGTACAGATTCTAAAAGACAGAACTCAGAAAAGTAATACTTCCCATTAAATGAATTAAAGACAACGACTGAAAATCGATTGGAAGTGGCCATATCTCATCAAGAAAATGCACGATCTCGTGTAATAAACAACTCACATATTAGAACTTGAAAAGGATGCTCAATCTCACCCACTATATTCACCAGACTTTATGCCCTCATATCTAAAACTATGTCAATTATAACGAAATTGCCTTAAATAGTTCACAAAAGAAAAAACTCATGTGAAAATCTCAATTGTCAAAACCCAGAGAAATAAAATAAATGACGGTATTTTCAAGTTGCCTGAAAGATGAAGGAAGGCTGAGAAATAGAAAGGCATTTATATAAGTTATATGTGAGCCATAATTTAAACGCGTTAACACTTCTTCCAAATTGATCTTATTTTCGGGATAACTTTACTCATAACAGATGTTAATGGATGCATGGAATTTGAATAAACTGACTTTTATTCGCAAGGAGATGAATCGAGTAAAGAATAAAAGTTCCATTCTCATCATTAATATTGTTCTTTTTTTCTTTCAGTCAATCTGAAGAGCTTATTGTGACAGTAATCAGAGGTCGGGGATTAACACTTCCGGATTCTCCATCGACCAAACTGGACAGTTACATCCGTGTCGTCCTGCAACCTGACGACAGCACAATCATGCAGACAGCGGTAATCTTTCATCGACTGATTATTATTCCTTCTCATATGAATTTGAAAACTTCTTACATAGGTTTAATTGTTACATATGTTCTATAAATTCTAATAATTTAATACCGTAAAAGATGGCATTTTACGTAATTCTTTTCCTGCATATTTTATCAGCCATAATTTTTCATCTATTGATTATTCCTCCGTGTTATTTAAATTAATTAACTTCCTACATAATTTTATTGTAACATAATTTCTGTGTATTCAAGCAATTTAATAAAATAAAAAATGACACTATACTTTATTTTTTTCTCGCATATTTTATCAGCTGTAATCTTTTATCGATTCATTCTTAGATGAATTTGATTTCATTACTTAAATTTATTGCATAATATTACGTGTTGAATAATTTTATTATTACATAAATTCTGTAAATTTAAACCGTTTAATAAGATAAAGTATGACACCTTACATGTTTTCATATTCATATATTTGTGAAAACAAATTATGTCGCAAAACGATTTAAAATAAAATTACAAATATCATATATTGCTTTAAAGCTTAGTTTACCTAAAAAATAATATTTAATTTGCTATTTTCAATGTCTGCTGACCTGTAAAACATGTTTGACTTTTAATAGGAACGTAAAGCTCTGATGGTTTTTGACAAATCTCGTATTAATGAAACATAAGCCTGTAAAATATAATAAAATAATATTGCTTAAAATTCCCAGATTGATCCCTGCATTTGAATGGAATATTGTTGAGATTAAGTAATTTTTAACCCCTGGAATTAAATGTGCGTCTATACATTAAATCTGGAAAAAGAAGTAAAACTTTAAGTGATTTAGTAGCCGATCGATTTCAGATCGAATTCGACAAATTCTGCGATATTCAATAGTAATATTGCTTTTGAATGAAATCGAGCAGGTAAAGATTTTATAAAAATAAAATTTGTGAAATGATGGAACATTAAAACAAATTTTCCTAAAAATGTAACTGTATTAAAAAACGTTTTGCTCTGTTGTCTTAAATATTAATATCCTGAAGGAATCAATAGTTTTCTTTCCTTTCTTTTCATCAAAACAGTTTAATTTTATTAAAACTGATGTGACGAATAATTATTGACATGTTTTATGCAATAAATAAGTGCAGTAGCACAGTTTCTGTCTGAGAGGCAGTTCTGTGACAGTTCGGACTTTTATTATGCGCAAGGACTTTATGAGCAATGATCTAGAATCGATGTATTTCTATATTTAATGCATTTTTCAATTTTCGATTGTTAAAAAGATGAATACTCTGTGCAAGCATTTTGATGAATTGGGTGGTTCAAATTATAAGTGATTAGTTTGTTCCACCACCTCATGACTAATATTAGAGTTGTTTGTATGATAACTCTAATGCTAGTCATAACTATCTGATAACTCTAATACTAAGTAGTTCTTCGCATTTAGTTGTGACAGGAAGGTCAACTACTCTCAATCGCCATCTAAATTCTTTGGCACACATTGCTGTTGTTGTTTCGAAAGCCACTTTCCAAATACCAGCAACCTTGCTTGGTGAAACCAAGCGAATTTAAGATGGGGTGTGTTTTTTTGTTTTTTGGTGGCACCATCTATGGCCAAGAATGCATACTCACCCCCACACGCACGTCACATCCCATTTCAAAAGGGGGGAACCATTAATACATCCATTCATTCATCCACGGATAATAATTTTTACCTGAACCAGAGAACTCCAATTCAGCCATAATAAATCGATTCGTTATGGGAGCTTTAAAAACTTTCTGACTTGACAAATTTAACATGCACCAGTCACCATTTACTACGACCGGCCGAGATCGAACTCCCGACCTCTTAAACATGGGCCCAGCACCCTTACCAACCTGACTATCCCCGCCCTTAACATATACTGGCGGATTTAAGTTTTTAGCAGTCTGCATCAAATGTTCCACTGCTCGGTTTTGTCTTGAATATATCCTTGTCTGTCAGCCTACTGTTCAAGCAAGACCTTACTCTTAACCTATTGTTGGTTACGAGTGAGGATTTTTTTAGTGTATAATATAGATATGGTTTAGCCAAGCCAGTCTTTTGGGACAAGCAGCAGGATTAGGTAACATATTCCATCAAGAGAAGGATACTAATCGAAATAAATATATGTTTTGAAACACAATGAATTTCTCTGGAAATTATCGGTTATTGACTGGCGGTAATATCGGTCAAAAGGGCTTCAATCCAACTGAACTGTTTCAAATATGTTAACAAGAGTGATTGTCCCGCAGTGGGCTGATCGTTAAGACACGGTTCCCAGCAGATCACCGAAGTCAAGCATCACTGGCTACTGTCAGTGTGCGGGTGGGTGACCACTTGGATCAATCTGCGTAGGGACCGAGGGTATGCGGTATTGGTCCTTGTTAAACTGTGCTACCGTAAAATGCTCGACTTCGCGCGCAGGTCGTCGGGCTACCGAAGCGGGGGTGCCATCCCCTCCGCAGAGGATCAAAATTGTGATGGCATGTCTTCGGATCATCCTCCGGGATGTTTCCCAGACCGTCGCCCATAGTTCATTGTGCAGCTCTAGTGCGACGTAAATTAACAACGACAACAACAAGAGTGATTAACGCAAAAATAAGAAGAAAATATAAATACTCAGATGTTACGCGAATACCATGTCTAGTATTTACTATTTAGTAACAACAAATAAGTAACTTAATGCATGTTTTAGAATTAACATTATTTGTAATTTACTCTGTCATTTTAGAACAGTTCTAAAAATACGTTTTTCTTACTTTGGACTTTATTTCGTTTTTTTTATTTTATATGTAAAATTGAGTTAATTTAAGTTAGAGTTTATGATTATTTTAGACAACATTATTAAGAGTTAAAATGAAATAATTGAATTAAAATACAAAGCTTATCTCTTATGATTTCGTTTTAGAACGCATTGTAAGTAATACAGGAAAACAAATACAGAGTGACGCAAATAAAAGTGGCCTGGGAAATAGACTTCCAAATACAAAATAACACAGCAAAGGAAAGGATATAACCAGCTTTTCACAGATGTTGAAAATGACCGTCATTCATCTCCGGGCACATTTTTGTCCCCTGGTAAGTAAGTTGCTGAATGCAGATCTAATCTGAGCTTCTGGAGTTGCTGCAATCTCAGTTCTTGAAGACTATGAAGCGTGTTGCGATGCATCTTAGACTTATAAGTTCCTCGCGAAAAATAATCATGCACTGACAAATCCGGGGACCAGCTAAAGCCGACACATGACTGGAAAATTGTTGGAAATGTAAAGCTCCAAATTCGGCATCTAATGAAAGACCAATATTTCGGCGTGCAAACACTGCGCACCAAACAACAACCATCAGATCATGCAATAGTGGATGCTGTATGATATGAGGACTCTCCGCTATCCAAAACCTGTCATTCTGTGAGTTGACCTAACCACTCTGGTGAAACTAGATTCCATCAGAAATTGTATAAAATATTCATGTCCAAGACATTCGTTGTTATCTAAGTGAACAGCCAATCAAAAAACTGGAGAAGGTAGCTAAAGAGCATCTGCAGATGAACAACAGAATTCTCTGTAGAGATGCATTTTCAGATCCAATTGGAATATCCGTTAGCATTCTCGACGTGATATGCCGAGACAAGCGTCAGGTTGATTTGTTTGTTGCCGGATAAATTGTAATTTCTGGTGTTCGGGCACGTTCCGGAATGTTTTTTGGCTTGTTCAAAACGGATCGGTCAGGCGGCATTGTGTGACTAATAATTGCATGGCACTCTTTTCTGTCACTTTGACATCATTAAATTCCTGAGCAAACAACTGACCACACCCTTTCCTCGAATTTGTTTTAAAGCAACTTTCCACGGCGGACACCCTCTGCTGCACTGTGAGTACCATTTGCACCTGTGCACAGATCAACTCACACTGACACAGCTTGTACTAAGGTTTGAAGCAGTTTCGATCACATGGTGGGCGTACTCGTGGTGTAGTTACATGTATACCTTCAGGTCCAATAGTATCCACTCGTTCTGGCCACTTTTATTTGCTTCATCTTGTATGTTTCCCAGTAGTCTTTTCTTTTTATATTCATTTCTAGAAATTCCTTTCTAACTACAAGTAGAAGTAAATTCACTTAAATAAACTGAAAATAAACCTAAAGAATTTTCCGAAGGAATTACTAAAATTATGCAAGTCAACATTAAAAACAGTTCTTGGAATTAATAATAAGAAAACTGGCGTGGGTTTAATTTTAGCAATTTTTATAATTATTCAACAGAAAAAAACTTAAAATGCAAGCAGGCATTTAATGAATTTGATGTATGGAAATATTTTTCGTTTATTTTTAACTTATTAAATTAAAAATTTGAGTTAATATATGCTTCAAAAATAAATATACCCACGCCAGAACAACTTTTTTCAGAAACAAGGAGTCGTCAAGAAATGTGGAGATCTTCCACCTCTAAAAACGTTCATCAACGATAATTCTCAAACAAATTATGATTGAAAAACACAATACCTATTTTAAATAAAATACAAAATACATAATTTAAGTAACGTTAAGGTCGCGAATAATGTTTTCAGGGAAAGAAAGTAATTTAAAGAAAGTAATTCTATTTTCAAGAGGGGTTTAATGTTTTATTCATCAGGCTTGAAAATGTAAATGAGAATTTGAAAGGAATTTGTTGAAGGAAAAATGTATTTTGTTATCTATTTAATAGATGAATATTTATTTTTAAAATTACTTTTTTACGTTATATTTTTTTTTTAATTTGTATGAATGGTTACAGTCAGAAATCTATTGTTGGAAAAAAATGAACTTCGACTGTCCAAAGATTAAAGTTAGATAAGGACATTTTCAAAAGAACAACGTGATTGTAAATGTATAACATGCTATATGATGACTAAGTCATTGACTTACTTGATAGTCAATATGTGTATTTCATTTTTGAAACTATTACTTTATAAGTCAAAATAACTTTTTATGTTCAGGCTTTTACTATTATTTTCAATGACATATGATTTGGCGAAATATAAGGCCGTTCCAATTTTATCATAAGGATTTTCACAGCTATGATTGAAGCACTTTCAGTTTTCTAGTTTGTTTCTTTTAATGATGCTTATAGTAAAAGTAATATTTTCAAAGTAATGGAAAATGTGTACATAACTTGGTTCGTAAGTTTAGATTTTGTGAAAACTTAGCAATCCTATATGTATCTGAGCCGGAAAAAAAATGTAAAATGTCTCAACAAAAGCACTTTGTATGCATTTGTTTAATTGAAAACACTTCATTATATTTTAAATCATTAAAAAAATTGTATTATACTGCTAGAGAAAAGAAACATATTACAAAGAACCTTGCTATAATGCCTGTATTCTTATGGTCATAAAAACTTTACGGACACAATTTAACTTTATGGCCAATGACTGGAACACTCTTTGCCGGTCACTGACCATAGTCTAGCTATGAATTTTTTATCGTTGCTTTAAAGTCAAAACTTGAAATGTAGTTTAAGCTAGCAGTTTTAACTGGACATTTATACTGGCACATTGGCAGAAAGATACAGTAAGACACGCATAAAATTCACATTTCTATTATTATAATAATTTTCCGAAATTTAGCTCTAAACCCTTTTTCTAATTTGAATAAACATGAAACTTATATACTTTCGTTACAGGTTCAGCGAGGAACTAAAGATCCTGAATATAAAGAACGTTTTGTCTTCAACGTAACGAAAGCATCATTACCCGAACGTGTGCTTAAGTGTATAGCGTACACTAGCGATCGTGCTGCGCAGGTTGCCTTGGGACAAGCAGAAGTAAATCTGTTGAGCATCAATTTAAACGAGCTTTATCAAGCATGGCTTCCACTTATAGATAATCAGAGAGTAAGAACCAGTTATATGATTTTTAAAGATATTTGTAGAAAAAACTTTTTTTCTACAATACTGACATTTATAGATAATATTGACATTTATAGATAATCAGAAAGTAAGAACCAATCATATGATATTAAGTATATTTACCTGAAAGGAATCGATTATCTTTTATGACATTCACATTGATAATAATGTAAGAACCAGTCATATAAATATGTGTTGAAGAAGAATAGTTTTCATCTTTGGCATGTTCAGTAAATAAAAACTCACCATGAAATTTTAACTATATCTGTAACATGAATGAATATATTTTCTCCCATGTCATAGTCATTGTTCTATAATGAGAAGTAAAAACTATTAAGTAATTTTATTACTGTCGCTGCATTTGCGTAAAAGCTCTACTTTTTTAATAATGACAATAGTTGATTATCAGAATGTTATAACCAATCATATAAATTTTAATGTATCAGTTAAAAAAAACTATTTCTATGCTGACATTGATAGATAGTCAAAAAGTATGAACAAATCATGTGATTTTCACTATAATTACCCGAAAAGGAATACATTTCATTTCCTTTTATGATTTACACATTTATAATAATTAAAATCTAAGAACCAATTGCATAAAAATATGTACAAAAGTGAAATTTTCACCCTTGACGACATCGAAAACTACGACGACACTAAAAACTATCCATTAATTAACTATATCTGTAAGATAAAGTAATATATTCACTTCTTTGACATGGTCATTGTTATATAATGAAGTGTAATCAATTACGCAATTTTTTACTGTCTCTGTATTTACGTAAAAGCTTTCCTGTTATGATAATGACAATGGTCGACTGTCAGAATCTTATAACAAAACGCATAATTTTAAATATGTCTATTAAAAAAAAATAACACCTATGACATTGACATCGTTAGACAAGCAGTTAGAGTTTATGATTATTTTAGACAACATTATTAAGAGTTAAAATGAAATAATTGAATTAAAATACAAAGCTTATCTCTTATGATTTCGTTTTAGAACGCATTGTAAGTAATACAGGANTATCCAATAATATTCAATTCAAAGCATGACCTCCAGACATTTCAGTAAAAAATCTTCTTAATTTTCACAACGCGTGTAGACATAGGTCTATAAATAAAATGAAGCACAAAATTAATGTCAGAAAAAAAAGAAGATTGAATTTGCTTCGAAACTTTGATTGGAAACTGAATCTTTCAATTAGCACACTAAAAATATTTCATATTTTTCTTAAGATTATCTTTAAGGAATTACGCAATGAAATTATATCTAGTTACAATGACAAGCTCATTCTTGAATAAACTTAGAAAATCAGAACATTTAAGAACCATTATTCGAATTACTATAAGACGTAAATATTCCTTGTAATTTAATTAAATTTTCTAAAGTGTTCGCATTTTAGACAGTTCACCTTTTGCAAATGGTCTGAAACTTCAATATCAAGTTACTCCTTTCGTATAGAAAATTAATAAACGAAAAGTACGGTAGAAACGAGAAAAAAAAAAGTTTTTGTAATTGATGTTTCCTAAAATAAACCTAGTGAATTAGTTTTAAGACTAATACTAATTAAAGACTCTTTCAGTGACTTGATTTAAGTAATCTGCCTACAGATTTTCAGGACAAACTACCTTTCGAAAGAAATTTAGGTATTAAAGGAAAACTCATTTACATTCCTTCGGCAGTTTAAGATTTAAGTAAACTGAGGGAACGATTTTCTCTAGCGATTAAATCGATTTTTGTCTCAGAGAATAATAACAAAAAATATGAAACATTTAAGCCGCTCAAAAATAACAAGTGTTCTAGAAAAAGTAATTAGAATGGTAGTTTCTGGAAATTTATTTAAAAAAAAGTTAATGAGAATATCGTGTGGTACTTGAAGGCGTGATAAAAAATTTCGCAATTAAAACGAGCATAATTATGGAGTAAGAAATGGCAAAATGATTAGGAATATATTGTTACAAATATTTGTATAGTTTTGTAGATATTCTTATGTTAGATAGCTAAGTATCTCAAAAGGAAGCTAAATAAGTAGTTTAATTAAAAAACTTACAAGTCACACGGAAAGCTAACGTAATAAATTAGAGAGAAAATAACATCTAATGTATTTCTTATGGAAGATTCGGTTTGACGACGTTTTTTTTGGCAACTTGGCGATAATCTTGACGACCAGTTAGGCAATAAAATGATTGTCCTGGAAGCTTCGAATTTCAAAGCGATAGTACCAATACTTACGGAGTTATGCTACCTAAAATCGTGTCGAAAGTTTCGGTGTTTCGTCGCCAACCCTATATATAGGACTGTGATTTGCACAGTAGATTATTAGTCTGCTTGAGACTGCAAAAGTGTTCGGATTTGCGAATCTTTAGTGAGTTCATTGAACCATCTGTGGCATTGAAGCGATACCTCTTTGGAGAGAGAAGTCCTCAGCACGGATTATCGTAAACAAGAAACTTGATTCTTTAGCAATCCAAACGTTATGATATCCTTCGTAGTAACCCCCACTGCGCAGCTTATTAGCCCAAAGGTAGTGACTTCTTATTTTTTCTCCATTGCGTAGTTCATGTTCGTTTCGTCGGACTGCTAAATTGGTTCGCGCTGAGGCCTTATCTCTTCTAGAAGGTGTTGTTTGAAGCCTGTGTTTCGCTGTATTACGCCGTTATTTGAACTGTTATTAAGTGCTGAAAGTGGCTGTATTTTTTGGAAGATTCGACTAATAAGTTTTTGAAGTCTTAAGGACTGTTTCATTCATCTCCAATCGAAACGAACCCATGTGTTAGGTACAATATATATTAACATAATATATATTAAGTTGCTTGTAGTAATCTGCTGCATTCAGAATAAGTTTATTCACCTAACAACTACAATGATATATTCATACTTATTCCATTAAGTAAAAGTAACGAATATTCCAAAAGGAAAATAAAAATGTCAAGGTCAAAAATAATCAAAATAAGGTAAGGTATTACTATTACCATAAGAAATTGAAATCTGGTAAATGTCAGCGTTGTCAGGTTATTGTCGATAGTCACATGTGTTGTGGCTTTACGTCAAGAATACTTCTTTATCCTTATTTTCTAACCTCATTTTTTTTTACAACGGTGACTGATGACTTTCACTATGCATTGATAGTAAATGTAGTAATAAAAAAATTGTGACCATCATTTATTTTTATTTGCATCCGTACCAACAGAGCAAAGGTTAATTTCGATCATTGCAGATGCCAGGAAATATTGACATTTAACAAAATCTTAAATCTAACTTCCATCGACTGCGCATGCTAAATGTTAAAATTTGCTGATGTGGGGGGAAATTGAGCAATTAAAGTAATATACAAAAAAGAAGAAAAAAAATTCAATATTCACCATACTGAATGTTGACATTTGCAGTGTAAGTGAGAAGTCTAATAAAAAAGTGATTCAACGTTCACTATTAGTGCAAGATGATTATCAACATGCGCTATTGTAAGTAAAAAATGATGACATTTAACATATATTTCGAATATCTCCCGGAGAGTCTATATGATTGTCGAGAAACATTCACGGGACAGTGTTAACATTCATCGAGTTGTGTCATTTACAGTAATGTATACTAACTATTAAAATGAGGCCTTTATCTTATAGAAACCTATCGGGTACGGAGAATTGTTATTTTCCCTAAGTTACTTGCCAACTGCTGAACGCTTAACAGTGGTCCTTGTAAAAGCAAGAAACTTGGTGTGGACTGACGAAAAAGATTCTGCAGGTAAGAAAAAACAAAATTCTTGCTCGCATTAAAAAAAAATTCTTGTACAATTTTCCGGTTTCTTACTTTCAGTCCTCCAGTGGACTGATAGTAAGATACGGTTCCCAGTAGATCTCCGAAGTCAAGCATCACTAACTGCAGTCAGTGAGCGAGTGGGTGACCTGTGATGGTACCGGTCCTCGTTGAAACTGCTCAATTGGAAATTGCTCGACTACGCACGAACTATGCATTTGACGAAAATATATATCACGGGCCGGGATAGCCTAGTCGGTAGGGCGCTGGGCCCATGTCCAAGAGTTCGTGAGTTCGATCCCCGCTGGCCGAAGACTCCCCGCGTTGTAAAGGGTGACTGATGCACGTTAAATCTGTCGAGTGGCAAAGTCCTCCATGTTCCCATAACAAATCAATACCTCTGGGGGTACTGATCCAGGAGTTTCCTTGTCTTCTGGATTGGCTCAAAATTTCAAGGCTACGGAGTTGAACATTAGTAGTCATAAACCCAAAAAATTGGGTCGGCTATTTAACGATATAAATGTTAATCAAAATAAATTAATTTCCAAACAGGAATCCGATAAAAACATTACAGTGCGAATAATTCAAACAGCAGCAATAACAGAATATCGTGAATAATCTAAACACTATACAAAAGAAAAACATTCGCAAAAGAAAAATATCCTCAAAAGAAACAGCACAAAAGTAGAAATTGAAATGGAAGCGTTGACCAACATGTCAGCGTCAGGCATTACCATGTCGTCAGTGCGAAAGCAGTTTCTGCTGTTGGAGGTAAAATACCAATCATTTTGTATTTCGTTTTTTTCTTCTGTGTATCAAGTCACGAAGATTATGCCCCTGAAGTAAATTGTACATTTTTATCTTTCCTTTTTTTCGATTGATTTTTCAAATCGTTAGGAACTTTTGGGTCCTTCAATAAGCTGGATGAATTTATAGCTAAACGATCACACAAAAGAGTCGTGAAGTGAAAGGGAGTTTACTTTCAAATCACTCTTTGTACATTTTTTATATCTCTCTCTTGAAAAACGTGGTTAGAAAGTAAATGTCCTCTGAATGAGGGAGAATAACACTTGATGATGGGCGAGTCTAAAATAGTTGATCACTTTATGCAGTGTATAGAAAGCTTTTAGTCACAAAGGAGATCGTTTATCAACATTCGGAAAGTACATTTTAACCGAGAAATTATGATCTCACAATTTCATTATGACTAACTTTAATATATACTGTCACATTACGTTCCAAACTTTTTTAAAAATATGTATCTGAAATTCCTAATTTCAGGTACTTGTTAAAAAAAATCAAATTAAACTTGAAAAAATAACGTAATTATTATTGTCCTAATATCAAATTGTGTAAGGATTACTGTCCGTCACAATAAATTTTCTTATTTTCATAAGCTGTAAAATCAATATGCTTTGATGCCACTCGTCAATATCCTTAATGTTTTTAATTAGGAATTTTCATTAAAATGCAAAAGAGAACAAAAAATATCCTTATTGAACTTTGGTGAACTGTTTTCTGCACTCTCAGAAATAAAACTCTCTTTTTTAACGATTCAGCAATATTCGAGCTGTAGTTTGTCTATTTTAAGAATCATTTCGTCATGAAATCACGCGATTTGTGACAAAACGCGAACTCTGAAATGTATGACGATGATGTTTCTCAACTCTATTTACTATCTGCTCTTCTCGTGTCGTTGATCCACCTGTATGATGCGGACGATAAAGTGCTTATTAGAAAAGTTAAATGCTATAGGTACTTCTAAGTTCTTCTTTTCTCTGAAAAAAAATAGAATGACGGAATATTTCTTTATTTTTGACAAAATTGGTTTTCTCGAAGAAGTATCGATAGTTGTTTCGTCACATTTGACAAAATGTTCACTCGGAACATACACCAGGAAATAGTTTCGTTAAACATGAGTATCCATTTTTTACTTAAATGGATACTCATAATTAGCGAAACTTTGACAAAACAAACAAATTAAGTTCAATTATCGCTAAAGGAATAAAACAATAAAAATAAAAGAAACGAACAAATAAAAATATGAAATCACATTATTTTATCTACAAGTAATTTATGATATTTTTTTATGTGACATCCACTAAACTTCTTATCTCAAAAAAATATACATAATATAATATGCAGTCACTTTAAAGACTTGGCTTTAGAAATAAGTGACGGGTGGATTATTTCTCAGAGTAAAAAAGTATACAGCGGCTGTTTATGATACTGGCTAGGATTTTATGTCCGCATTTTACGAGCAATTCTTCCGAACAGTTAAAGTATCTTTCGTGTTTTTGACTGCTTTATTAAATAAAAATGAGACTAGCTTGAAAATAAACTGCTTACAGGTTTTTTTAAGAAACTAAAACTAAAAAAAAATAAATGTAAAGTTTTATTCCAATGTTGCAAGAGAATAAAAGTGTATCTACTCGATCGTAAATTTACTTTTTTTTATCTGAATAAGGTTATAGTATTTCAATTTACGGCTGCGAATTTCTAACATTATCTATTTTATAGATGTGCATTTCTGTTGTTTGTTATTATTCTGATGAGGAGGTCGTTTTAAACTTATGAAATTATTCTGTAGTATGCGTTGAATAATGATAACAAAAGAATTGAATTATGTTATTTTTATGAGAGAAAAAAATATTGTTTTTATTTAAGAGTAATTGATGGAAATGTTGATGGATGATAATGATCATTTCATGAATGGAAATTCTATATCATTATGTAGTAAAAATGTTGAATAAAATAATTTGAAAAACTTGCAACTTATTTTTTAAAATTTTAACTAATTGATAAAGACAATAACATTGACAAATTTCTATAAGCATTAAAATCCTTACTGTTATGTTTTTTGTTATTTTTCGATATTATATTGCTGTTAAGAAACATCGAATTACTATTAGAAGTTTTTAAGGTTTCCCACCTGACGTAACGCTCAAAAAGTCATAGGGTTAGTGATTTGGCCTTGTTAAGTTTAATAGGGGTAATTGCTATTTCTTCAAATCCAGTTCCGTAAATAAACCATTCTTCAAGAGGGATAAAATATAATAGCTCAAAAATAATAGCTACTCTTTAAAAATGTAATAAAAAAAAACATGCCGATCTTCAAAGCAGATTTAAATTAACTCCTCCTGAAAAGTTAAATAAACAATTTAATTTTCTCATTAAATTCATTTAAAATACAGTTTTTTGATGAATGAATTGCTTTTGTGGGGATTTACAATGATTTATTAGTTGTGCCCTTCTTTTATTTAAAATAATTTTTTTTAGGAAAGTGGCTTATTATGTTTTTCACAAAAACTATGTTTTTTTCCTGATAAAACAGATCCCTTTGTGAAAATCTACCTTCTTCAGAAAGGAAAGAAAATCAGCAAGAAAAAAACTTCCGTTAAAAGAGGGGACAGAAATCCTGTATTTAATGAAGCTATGATCTTTTCCGTACCAGCTGCTGCTCTACAGGTAACTAAACAAATAAATTTTATATTAAGTATTATAAAAATAACATTTAAAAAAAGCTGAGACCAAAAAAATTTTATTTTCTCGAATAAAAAAACCTTAAAATAATTAAAATGCCTATGTAGATTAGAACAGTTTAAATCTTGGTAGCACATTTAAAAATTGCCATTGGAATGCAGAAAAATAGATTTCGGTTGCTTTTATAAATTTTCCTGGTGATAGACTATTCAAATTATTGTCGTTTGCATGTTAATCAATCACTATTTGTAGAAAGAAAAACAAAATGTACACTTTATACAGTGGAATATATTTATTTTAAAACTGTATAATGCAATTTTGTTTATTCTTAGTTTTAAAAAAAAAATACAATTTATAAAAAGTAAGATTTTCAAGGGCCTCCTGAGTGACCGGATGTGCCCATGCGTAAAGACGGTACTCTGCTGCTCATGATTATAATCTGTGGTATTTGTTTTCTTCTAGAACATCCAGTTGCGATTGACAGTAGCTGAATTTCAATCGGAAGGTAAGACACCAGCCATCGGACATATATTCGTAGGTCCTCATTGCTCCGGCAAGCAACTGTCCCACTGGAATCAGATGATCTCAGCTCCAAGGAAACCTACAGCTATGTGGCATCCCCTCAAGAAGCGGGACGGATAACGTGCTTCTTCTTTTGTCGTCTTGTTTTTCATGGTAAATAAATATTGTGTACATTCCAAAGGGCCTGGCATGTGCCAATGCTGTTTGTCAATGTTTTTAAATGTGTTCACATGGGCCTAACTGCTTTTTCATATCGCGGGATACATAACTTTATGCATTTATTGCTTATATTTATACATAAATAATATTCTTTACTAATGATTTCTGGCTTTAATTTTACTTTTTTTTTAAGAATTGAGAAATAAGAACACAAAAATAAGTCAAATATTTCATTAAAAGAATGGATAATTTTTCTCCCTGAAGACATATTTACAGTCAAACACAAACTAGTAATGGAAGAATTTCATAAATTCATAAGAATCGTCACTTTTAATTTTTGATCAAGTTCATAAAGCTGTATTCAAATTACGAAAAATAACATAAACATTTATTATGAACATTTTATTCCATATTTCGTTCCTTTCTATCTGTTTTAAATACATAAGAAAACAAAACGATAAATTACATGCAACTACATTGTATGAATTACATCAATATCGTAATTTCATCAGAATATCTTTAACTAACACAGTTGTAAAGATAATTCTCGAGCACAAGGCACTGTATTTCCATCAATTAAAAACTAAAATCATCGATCTCAAATCAGCAGAGATGATTCGTAATATTTAAAGTCTTGATTGAAATGATTTTTTTAAAAAAATTATAAATATATTAATATTAGCGAGAGAGAAAAATTTTCAGACTATGACGAATCATCATTTAGGTCTATCAGAGCAAAAGGGAGATTTAAAATTATCAAAAGTCAGTTCATTTGTGGAAGAATCTGAAAAGTGGTTCCTTACAAAATACGCGTCTTAAAAGAATTATGCACTGGATTTTATTGATTTTTATTCCCTCATTTTGATAGTTTTTGAGGGTGTGGTTATTTGTCGAAGTACAAACCAGTAATAACTTATAAAACCAGATTACACTTTAAATTACTCAGATTTTATGTTTACAGGGTTCATACACACTAGGAAAAAATTTTTTAAAAAAAGGGAATAATGCTTTTTACATTATTATATTTATAGCTACCAGAATATTTTATTTTCTCTAAGTAAGCATATATAGATCCGACGGTAGCGAAAATGAATTTTAATACAACAGTGAATGCTGATCTTAAGAAGTTTTCAGCTTCTTTATAACAAAATTAATACCAGTTAATAATTTTTCCAGGTTGCATACGAACCCTGGTTTAATACACCATAGAAAGCACCATCTCGATATATAATTGTGATGATAACAGTAATATACCAGATTTTATTACTATTTGTTTTATTATTATTAACCATTGATTTCATTCATTAACTTAAGCCATTGGTCACAGCGTTTAATAAAAATTCTACTCAATTTACTTCAAAATAGCAATCAAAAGTTTTAATTTAATCTAAAACTAACAAAATAATTAATTATTAGACTTTACATAATTTTGAAAATAAAACCTTAAGCAATTTTAGAACTGAATATTAATACTTAAATAGTTAAAATGCCTTTAGAGTTAAGCATCTTGCTTCATCAAGAAATATGGACAAGTCTCCTACCACTGTTTAATAAATTAATAGAAAGGCTGTGACCACTGCTCAACACATTTTTAGAACTTTCACATGAAAGAAAAAAGAATTATCAGGTACATTTAAATTTACAAAAATATTTTTGAAAAAAAAATTATAATTGTTTTATAAATTAAAGTGTTACTCAACCAGATTTTCATGCAAGAACTGGCTCTTTATTAATTTTATTGATATTTAATTCATTGACCACCTACTTCTCTAAATTTATGGTCTAGAAATATTTTTTTACAAAAATACTCTCGAAAAAAAGTATTTTTCAAAAAGTAGAGCAATCCCATCTTAATTTTTATGTTTAATTTTTAAATATTTTATAAAATTAAAATAAATGCATCTAGCTGCGAAGTTTTAAAAAATTGCGAAAGCAGGTGGAATATTATTTTTCCATCAGAATCGAACAAGATTAAATAATAAATAAATAAACTAAAGAAATTTTGTTTTGAAACCGATATTCTCATATTTACAGCTTCAGCACTTTCATATTTTTTAAAAGAAACATTATTTAAATTTTCAAAAATTATTCATCCTCTTGTGATTACGCTTTGGCAAAAAAATGCTTAAATAAAATTCTCTTTTTTTAAAATAAAAAATTGTCCTTAATTATTTGCCCTTTATGTGAACATGATTTAATCTCTATTTTAACTAAAAATAAAACAGGTCCTCTTATTTGTGTGAAAAACTTGTAAACTAATTGTTGAATTTCTGTAACAAAAAAAGGTAATAAGAATGTTCATAAAACTTTACTTAATCTTATTTTTAATAACTAATTTGAATTTATGACATTTTTATGTCTAAATTTAAGATTTAACAATTAGTTTGAGAATTATAAAACTATTAAATTTGTAGGAAAAAATACCATGTTTAGTCATTCTGTATCCCGTTGAAATGAAACATAGAGTCAAATTTTGACTCGCTGAAGGAGTCATATTCATTTCTGAGTAGAACGCAAATTTTGCTTTGTAATTCCAATTTGCTCTTTCTCAGTTTTCCATAATACTCGTCGGCTATCAGTGTAAGTACTTTCTTCTTTTAACCTCATTTAAAAAAAAACGAGATTTTGAAAAACTTGATTTTTATAGCCAAGTATTATTTCCAAAATGCGGTATAGATTTTATTGTTAACTATTTATACTCCTATTTAACTTCCAAAATCTATCCAGTTAAACTATATCGAACAGAATCGCAAAACTTCAACCAATTTGTTGTTGTAAAAAAAGTAATTGTATTTTTTTTTTTTTTTAAAGTTGTCAAAAAATAGATGAAATTAGTGTACTGATATCTGATGTACATTTAGCATGAAGAAACGACACATTTAAAGAAAAGAAAATTTATAATTTCTGACAGGTTGTAAAGTTTTATGATCATTCATTATTTTGAAACTTTGTTGTTTATTGTTGTTGTAACACATTCGACTCGATGTACTATTTCCTGTTGTACGTACATGGGTTAAAAAGTGGAAATGTTGGTATTTGAAAAAAATTTATTTACTAAAACTCATGCATTTGTGTGCGTGCACTTAAATGTTTCTGCACTTTGTGGCATTGGTGAAATGTTGTGATGATATGCTTTAACAATATTTAAAAAGTTAGCATAAATGTAAACAATTTCCTGCTTTCATCTTTTATTACAATTATAAAGTTTGGACGACTCAATATTCCGAGTTAATAAAATCAAAGAAAAAAAAAAGATTTATAAGATTGATGGAAGATCTGAATAATATATTTTAATTATGTAAGGCAAAAATATTCTAAAATTAATTCATTGTGGCTTCGTTATTCACAACCTTTATTACATGATCTATATGTTTTAAGATTCTCAATGCTCATGCTATGTTTATTATATGATCTATGCTCATGCTATATTTATTACATGCTGTAGGCTCTGTTTGTTTTCTAACACTTCTAATAAAATACGGGAGCATGTAACAGAGTCACGAGATAATTATTTGAAGTAAAAATATTAAAAAAGTAAATTAACCTTTGATTTTTTACAATATTTATATCTTATGCGGAATTGCTTATCCACATAAAAGATTCATGAACAATTTGAAAAAATTATGTTTAAAAAAATTCAAAGAAGAAATAGTGGTTGCTTTGATTTTACTATTTACGGTAATTTATTTAAATCTTATGCAGATCAGATGATTCAGGTAGCGAATTTGCGAGATATTTAATTATTTGAAGAAAAAGAATTCAAACAAATTAATCCTTATTTTTATAATATTTTATTTATATATTATGCTGAATTACTAGTCCACGTAGAAGAATCGCGATATATTTGTTAAAAGTTTTGAAGAAAAAATATTTTTTTTTAAAAAAAATTAATGGTTGCTTTATTTTTGCTTTTACCGTAATGCTAAATCGCTAATCTATGTAGTAGATACTAGAAATTTTTTTTTTCGCCTTCGAACATAAATACTCCAAATATTCCGACTGTCAATTTGTCTTAGACTTTCAAAGTAAATTTCCACTTTTTATAAAAACGGTGACAATTTGCAATAAGTAACATAACAAAAATATTCATATATGCATAGTTACGTGACTTAACATATACTCGCTAAACAACTCTTCTAAAACTAATCAAAGATTGATTAATGTTGTCTGGCATTAAAATCTGTAAGTTTCCTCATAATTAAATTACCACTTAAAATGCCTTATATATTAGGCTTGATTAAAATGACTAACTACCTAAACTATTTAATCAATACGCAGCTAGATCTTATTAAGCACGAATTTAAATTATCCTCAAAACAGAAAAATGGAATTCATTAAAATGTTATGGGCATTCTTGGCATTCTATGATGGGCATTCTTGGACATCCATGCGATATTTTTTATAGTTCTTATCACTTAATCAAGCTCGTATAGTTCTTATCAAAAGTTAAAAAAAAAAAATATCAGCAAAATTTAAATGGAAAAATGGAGCTGTCAAACAGAAAATAATTAAAAGTGACAATGGTTCTGCACTCAGGAATTTTCAAAATTTATAAAACTATTCGTTTAATTGCTTAGTTATTTAATAGATTTAATTACTTAAATTGAAAAATTTAAATACGATTGTCAGAAACATATTTTATTATATTCATCAAAAATGTTCACAATTAAAAAAAAATTGTTGTGACAAACAATTTCATTTTTTATGAACATAAGAATCGTTGATCTTAATTTCTAATACTTTATTTTGTGCTAATCAAATATGAAATTTATAAAATGATGGCATAATTGCTTTGATTAATAATTCTTTTTTTATCCATACTTATAATTAAACCAATAAATAAAATCATCGACTTTATTCAAACAACTTCAAAGAAAGGAAATAAAAACATAACGAACAATAATTAACAAAGATTAACTTGTCAGCTTTTCTAAATCTTAATTATATATTAACAAATCATTAAAATTCTATGAATACGTGTGGAGAACATAATTATTCCAACTTTAAACGAAATTAATCCAAACTGATTTATAAAATTTAGGATTTTAATATTAAACATTTCATTCCAAATTAAGTAACATTCTAAGTTTTGATATTGTTGACTTCACTAAGTAAAGCTTAAAATATCTTTGAGATTTATGCAAACTCTGTATTTGAGGCTACGACAGCCATTTTCAAGTGGTTTTGCCAAATGGCGCTATTTAACGCTAAATTTGGCGGTTTTTCTGAATTAAAAATAGTTTCTGCTAAATACAGTACTGAAATGGTAATAATAATAATGAATAAAAAAAAGTCTCTCATATGAGTGTCTGAATTAGTAAAATCAATCTGATTGGCTAATTGCCATTGATTACTGTTTTATTAAAAAAGCTAAAGGTGCTATTTACCTTATTTGTTTAACTGGAAATTGTTTGGCATAGAAATTTCATAATTTGATGAGCTGCAATCTCGTAAAATTTAACTACCGTGTAGCTATTTAAACTTCCTTCATTCTTCTAAAGCTAATATTCGACTCGTTAGAAATTATTTGCTCTGCTTAAAATAACTGAATATTTAGTTTTTTTCAGCAGAGGGTGCTTGCTTTTTATAGCAGAAGTGAAGAAAAATTCCAAATCAATTTCGAAACTTTAATATGTGATATTAGACACTCAAAATATATCTGATGAAGAAAACAAATAATTTCCCATCCTAATGAGAAAACTGATGAAAATAAATAAAAAGTATCGCAAATTCAAAATAATTTAGCTATGTATATAAACTCTTCTTAGATAGAATTGACAAGGTACTCGAGGTAACGCAATTTTTCCACTCTCCGTTACCATGATTTGATTTTATAACCGTTGCTGAACAGCCGACCCAATTTTGGGTTTACGACTACTTATGTCCAACTTCGTTTCCTTGTACTTTTGAACCCAATCCAGAAGACAAGGTAACTCCTGTTTCAAGTATAGGGAGAAATTGAATGAAACTGACCCGCATTTGCGTTACATGGAGAGGAAAACCACTCACGGTTAGCCCGAAGGCAAGGGGACTGCCATAATCCATCTACCACTGAGGATATTTTTACGTCAGCACTATGGTCGGTGCGAGCAGAGTGATCGCTGGGATTCTAATCCGGTTAACCTCATTGGAAGGCGAAAGCTCTATCACCTGAGCCACCACGGCTTCGTTATCATGATTATGGAAAATCATCATTACGTTTCAGGAAATCATCAAGTGGTATATATAGTCTGTCTACAAAAAGAACTCCCCTCGCCATTCGACTGGAGCAGGGGCGGTTACTATGGTTACGAAGTTTAACTATTTCGAGTAGGGATGGTGGCTCAATATTTGGCAGGTTTTAGTTCGGGTCAGCGAGAGAAAGGGAACCGGGGGGAAGAGAAGCGACCCGCTTTGAAATGCGCTGCTTCTTGTTTCCATAGCAGCAGACGGCCTTAGACTTTGTGAGAAGGGGAGTTCTTTCTATAGACAAGACTTTCTACAGAAGGCGTGGAGAAAAGACAAGATTTGTAGATACCGTGGTAACGGAGTGGGTTTAACACGTGAACTTAAGACGCCTATTTTACTTCCAAAAAGTAAAGTACAAGAAAGAAAGCACTGCAGTGATAAATTAAACAGTTCTAACTACGACTATTTGCAAAATACATTTTTTGCGCCACTTCCGAATCAGTTAAAAGAATACACCTTCTTATGGGATTAGGCAGTTCTATTTACAGTAATCAGATGTATTAAGATTTATATTGGCCATAACCTTTATTTGATATAGGTGGAAAAAAATATTCTCGCATTTATTTTATTTTGGAGATATGATTTATGTTATGAGAGCAGAACATTCGAGCAAACTAAATTGCGTGCAGTATTTCTCGCTATTTAGCTTGCCAAATAAACGTACAATGCTAACGGCGCGGTTCTGGTAACCCAGAATTAAATTTAAACTGTATTCTAGTTTCCTCTATATGACAGTTCACTAGCTAATCAACTTAATTACAGATTTTCTTTTACATTTATGAAATTTTCGTCGAATCTACTATGAGAACGTTTCTTTTGTTACAATTAATTCTTTAAAAAATTGCTTCTCTTTTTTTCAAATAACGAGTCTCTTTAAAATACATTTATAAACCGTAACTATTTTCCGAAATAGATACAAAAACGAAGATATCACAAAAAAACGGTGAGTGAGTGTCTAAAATTTTGACTTGGTCAAAAAAGGGAATAAATATTGAGCTAGATCATGCTCAAATAATAGTCTAATAACTTTCTAATAGATATTTATATATTTTATTCCTCACATGGGATGAATATAGGTAGATGACTATTTAGTGACTGGTATTCATAGATGAAAGAAATATAACTTATATACTAACTGTTGAGAAAGTGTTGCAAATATTCAGAGTTTAAAAAAAAGGCTTCGATTTTGCCTTTATTTAATATTTCATATCAGCCCGTGTCTTTTGTAAACGTTTGTATATTGGTATATTGTATTAAATGTGATAAAATAAATATTGAATGATGAACAATATGACTGTGATGTTAAATGTATCCTTGATAAAAATTTATATCATACACTACACAGGGTGCGCAGCAAAATTATTCAACAAAAAATAAGCACCTTTGAAGCACTTTTCAAGCACTCAAAGAATATTTTTAAGCACTTAAAAAATATAATTAGGTAGGGTTGGAAAGTTTTTGACAGTTGACGGTTTTATCTGGTTACAATTGTCATGTCAAAAAAAAAAACTTTTGGGATTGTTTTTGACAATTGTCAAAATTTTTGAATTATGTAAATCGAAAGGCCTTTTTATACGCTACGGACTGACGATACGGCGAAATAGATTGGGGTTGAATTAATTGTGAAAACGTTGAATTGAACAATGTGAACAGTGTCTTTCTGCAAAATTCGTAGCGAAAGTTAGCATGGTAAAGGAAAAATATCATTTTAGAAAATTAAGCACTTTTTAAAAACACCAAAAGAAAAAAGCACCTTTAAGGGCTTTTAAAAAATGAAAATCGAAAAAAAGCACCTTTAAGCGCTTTTTAAAAACGCGAAGCACCCTGACTACATTAAAACAATTTTAACAAATGTTTCAGGCAAATTTTATGAAGAAAATTTCTAACATAAATCGCGACGAAAGTCTAACTTTCCTAAATTTTAAGAACAGAAAAGTAAAATAATAGTAAAACCACATATTTAGAAGTAAAAAAATTCCGTCATCGGCTAAAATTGGATGAGATTTCTTATTTTATAATTTGTTTTATTGTAATGGTGTTGAATGTGTTTTTTTTTTCTTCTTTTATTTGATCCTATTGTTTTGCTTCTACTTTTCCCATTTTAATATTTTGTCAAAAAAAAAAAAAAAAAAAAAAAAAAAAAAAAAAAAAAAAAAAAAAAANTAAAAAAAAAAAAAAAAAGGTGAAAGTCAGACAAGTGATATATTTACCTGTGTACGACTAAGGCAGGCTTGCCAATCTCAGAAATTCAAAAGCTGGAGATTTTTTGCAGCAACGACATAGTACGATAAATTAAATAACAACAAAACATAAAACAATTCATACACACATCAAAATTGCTTCAGTAACATTTTTACTCCTAAAAGTTACAGTATATATATTAATCTATTATTTTAAAAACAGATTAATTGATAAACTTAGAATTTTTTTGAAACACGTAATCAGAAATTTTCTGAAAACAAAACTCTTTTTGGTTTGCCTTCATAGTTAACTAAATTTCCAAAGTTTGTTTAGACAAAAGTGTAAATTTTATCTGAATTTTCGGCTGAAGTTCTGAAAATAAATTTTCTAAGGACTTCTGAAGCTGAATATTCTCCAAAAGGTAACATCGCTGTGAGGTATAGTCAATACTACCAACAAGAACTTTCCCAACACACTGGAGTCAATATTTTTCCTGCTCCTAACTCTACACCATTTTGTATTAATCCTATCAAAAGAATGGAAAAATTCTGAAATGTCTTTGCTCTATAAATCTCTAAACTTAAGTTTCTTGAACATCAAGCAATAAGCTCCTGTCATATTTTCCTAAAACATACACTAAAACGGAAAAAACTATTAACAAAAAACTTGGTACTCGAAAATGAAGTATAAATGAATGCATTTCAGGCCAAGCATAGAACTTTTAAAGAATAAGGCATTATTTTCATTGAGATGTGTTAAAATTACATTCATTAAGACATGAAAAATGAAAAAATTTTGTGCATGAAAAATAATACTTTAAGAAATAAAATGGTGTGTTTACGCACCAATGACCAAATTAATGGTGCGTAAACACACCATTTTATTTCTTAAAGTATTACTTTTCATTCATGATTTATTTTAATTTTATTCACAGAAGTTGCAACTTTAATCCATCATAAAAACATGTAATTAATCTGAAATGGAATAATAATATATTTTCAAAAAGTCAAAAACACTTCCAGTCAAAAAACTATGAAAGTTTGAAAATTTCAAAACAGAAAGAGTTTACACCAATTGAATTACTAATATTTTATGTATGTCTTCAGAACAGAAATAGCAGAAATATTAAATTAGTAAAAAATATACATCACAGTGTCAATAAAAAATATATTTCTTGAAATGATACATTTACGCACCTTTGGCCGAAATGGGTTAAAATACTCTTAGAAGTTGAATCACTTGTATATTCATTAATAGCAAATTCATTTCATGTTAGAATACTTCATTTTTAGTTTCTTACAAAGAATTGAGAAGTGAACTAAAAATTAATGATAGATAAAAGCATTCAAATGACAAAAACAATGCAGGGAGATAGTGTTGGAGTTACATGCTCGGAGTTATATGACGAATCTAAGGATTCATATAATGAGTAGGAAAAAACCAGAGAATACTTCATTGACCTGAGGTCTTGAAAATGGACAAGAAGTATGGGACTTGGAGGCCATCTGGGGCTGTCCCATTTAGAATGACTTAACTTATTTTTGCAGCAACCCTGATATCAAGGTTCTCACTCAATTTCAGAAAAAAAATCTCCCTGACTTTTCCAGGTATACCAGGTAAATTTCAATGAAAATCGGAACCATATTTTCATTCGAAAACTTTGATTCTTTTAATTGTAATGCAAAATATAAGATTTTCTGTGTAAAACAAATATCATTAAATGTGGATGGGATTATTTCAGTTTGACTAAAATGTGAAATTTTTATAACAAATAATTGTAATAGATGTTAGAATTATTTTACTCTAATCTCAATAACTGATTACTGTTATTGGCAATCTTCAGACTGATTATTTTCCAGGAATGATATAGAAATTTTCCAGATTTTTGTATTAAAAAAAATTCAACTTTCCCTGATTTTTGGAGTTAAAATAAAATTCCTCGACAATTCCAGGTTTTCCCGGTTCTCTCTGATCCGGGGGAAACCTGCTATTGTTGATTAAATTTTCATTCTCTGGACAACAGGAATGGTAATACAACATAGGGTCACTGCCCTCCCCTCACATAAATAAGTATTTGATTTTTGTTATTTATATTTAACAATTATAATATGCTAGAATTCAAAATTAACATTGATTTATATTTTGCATCATAAATTTCAGAAATCTCATAGTAAAAATATTAATAAATTTTTCTCCTAAATACGGCATTTTATCACATTCTCAAACTTTTCGAATCACAATTTTAACATTTAACAAACAAAAGCATGCAAAAATAATATATTAAATATATTTCCAAGTAATTGTAAGTTACAATACTTGTAATAGCAATATAATAGAATATATAGTAACTGAATGTCTAACTTAAAGTAGTATATTACAATGTAATGTGCAATAGGGTGTAATATTAGAATACATAATTAAATAGAACTGCAAAGAAAAAAAAATATATAGTCATTAGAGTATAATTTCCTATCAGTTTAATTATAAAAAATATCTTTTAAAAATAAGAACAAAAAGCTCTTTAATAAAAAGTAACATTTATTTTTTTACATACAAAGAGTTTGTTTATAACACAAAGCGACAGGAATGTGCACTCAGTGGACCATGATGACTTATGATTTCTCGACTTCAGACAACTGAAAAAGAGAAATATTAAAGCATGACACATTTTATCTGAAGAGCTGGAAAAATTATGATAAAAGCAAAAACAAACCTAAAATTGTTTATAAATGTTTAGAGCATTAGATGCTTTTACTCTTACTAATTAACAACTAATTAAGTCTCACTAATTAACAACTACACACTTAAGGCTTTTATATTTGCCAGTGCCTAGCTGTACACACCTGCAGGGAAATGTTTTCATGTTTTGCAATGCATAGCAACAATAGAAAAGATATTTTTGACATCTAAAAAGCATCAAACATTTAATGCCTTGCATGAGTAGTAATCAACAGCTTAAGTAAGTGTATCTGAAAATATCTTGCCAAGGCAAGTAGTTAACAATGACTAAAGGTAAGTCAACATGATTAACATTAAATTAAAATGCACTTATTATTTACTTGATCTAACTTAAACTGGGAGGTGGAAATTTCAAGTTATTATATTAATGCAAAGGTAATAAAATTATGACAAACCTTTAAGATCAAACTAATTTGAGAATTAATTTGTAATTTTAAATAGCTAGAATACAAATTAGAATCTTTAGATTTTAATTTGTAATCCTAAATAGCTAGAATACAAATTAAAATCTTAAGATTTTAAAGTTTTCTTTTAAAAAAACAAACTATCTCCATAGTTAACACCTTAATGGAAACAAGACAATTTTAAAGAAAATTGCAGATTTTATTCAAGAAAATTATATAAAACTAAGTATGTGTACAATTTATGTATTCAATTCATTTTTAATTTTTAGACTAATCGATGATGAGTGCTGACACAAAGTTTAAAAAAACTATCTCTAAACGCATTACAAATAGTCTTGTACTGACATCTAATATATAGATTGAGAAATAAACATAGCCACAATAAAAGGGGGCAACACTTTAGCACCTCATTTTGACGGGAGCGAGAAGAAAGGAATTAAAAGAAATAAGGGTTAGTTAAATTTAGAAAATAGGAGTGGGGGAAAACAAATTTTAGAAATGAAATAAGATACAAAATATTAAGAAAATATTATATAAAAATCTGAAATGAATCGATACAATTATTAATCTACACAAATGTAAAGTAAAGATCTACACAAAAGTAATCCTTGTCCATAAATAGCCAAGTTACAAAAAAATATGTATACATATACTTAGTATAGCTTAAAAAAGTGTACATTTTATTTTTCTGACTGTTATAATGTACTTAAATTGGAGAGGAAGAATGTACATTTTAGACGTATTAAAAATTATAGATATGTCACACATTTTTTAATATAAAAATAAACAGCCACTAAGAATATATATTAATGGTTTACTTTTCAATTGCCTTAAGTGAATATTAGAAAGCTACACATAGCGCAATTTCTAAGTGTGACGCTTATCGTCACTTAATTCAGAATCACAATAAAACATTTAAAATAGATTTATCGTAAATTGCAAAATAATTGATTAGATTTAAAATACTGTGGAAACTTCCATTAGTACATAGAACTTAAGCAAATACAAATAAACACTCTAGATTAAAGTTAAGAAATATGTGTCGAAAAGGGTTAATCACAAGTTTATAGTCCAAGTTTGATCTCTTGTGTGACCTTTCCAGAATTTAGCAATAGTTTTATCTAGCAAAAAGTTTAGTATAAAAGATCAAAAAAAGACAACAAAAACAGTAGCAGTAGTAGTAGAGAGAGTAGAACCGAGTAATTTTGAGGTTCACCAACTTCCAATATGAACATCAGTATGGGTAAGTTCTCTCCATGCCAATTAGTTTATTTGTTGCTAATCAAAGCCTTTTAATTAGTTTAATTTGTTATATAAATTTGTATTTGATTAAAGCTTTGTTAATTTAAGTATTTTAAATAGTTGAGGTATGTAAATTAATTCGACAATATATGCATAAAATAAAACGATCACAGGTTAAATTGATAAGTAGTAGTTTTGTGTCTGTAAACCACCGTAACATAAGCTATAAATATATTAGCTATACAGCATTGAAATTTAGTACAGCTCAAAAACTTTTAAAACTATCTTTGTTTCTAATTAAAAACCCTAAGTTTCATTTCAGGAAGAATTGAATTACAGTTTTCTTTTGTTGTCCAGTGTTGGTTGGTTTAAACCAAATTTTTTTTTAAAAAAAGCCAAGCTTGGGTATTTAACAAGTAAATTTCAAAAAAAAAAAATTTTTTCTTTTATCTCTTTAAAAATACTTTTTAAATGTCTAGATATCATAACTTTCTTGGAAAATTAGCTTCAAAAATAAATTGATGCAAAAAAAATGTTTCAAAAATGCTATATGTAAAATAAAACATCAAATCCATTTTCTAATTACTTTTAAAATTTGTTAAATAATGTAATTAAATTATGAACAAGTTAAAAAAGTTTGAAACTTTTTTTAGAGAACTTTTTATATATCCAGTTAAAAACACATTATGCTTGTTTACAATCAAAAGAATAAATGGAAATAAATTGCTTGTTTAAGTTTTATATTTAACTTCTCAATTTATGTTTTTTTTAAATATTTCAATTATCAGAGACAAAAATTTGCATTGTACAATTTTGTTCATTTCTGTAATATTTTTAAAATGCATTTTTAATATTTGAAAACAATTCTAACAAAAAATATTCAGAATAGGGTGACCCGGGGTAATTCATGATCACTCTGTTACTGGGGTAAATAATGATCACCTAAGTTTTATTTTAAAAAAAACAATTTTTTTTAAATTTGAGACATGGACAAGAATGCTTGTACACTTTACTAAAGTATAACTACATTTACTTAATAATAGTTTTTTGCTTAATCTAACAAAATAAGTATCTTTTAAACTGCTTTCAGTATTTTCCATTTCAAAGATGGGTTTCAAAATGTGCACATTTCTGCAAAGATCCCCCTCCTTCTCTTAATAATAAATATTTTGAGTTACTTTCTTTTTCTTTGATATAAAAGTAGTGTAAACTTTTGTTTAATTGTTTTACATCTACTGTTAACATTATAATTGATTATAAGAAACTGCATCAAATGTTGCCCCCCTACAGATGGGGTAATTATTGATCACTGGGTAATTCCTGATCATTGTCATTTTTTCTTATAAATAGTATATAAAATAGCTAATAAATAGCTAATTGTCTTTTCTTAAATAACAGTTCATATTTATTAAGTGGAACATCTACAAAATATATTTTAACTGTCATCACAAAATTTGTTTTTAACTGTATACAAGACTGTATTCTGATTTGCACCATTTCTGGTTTGTCTTACCTTGCTTCTATCTTAATTTTATGTGTGTACATTGTTAGAATAATTTTTAAGTTTATAAATTAGCCTAGTATAAATATGGTGAGAAATTATAAGCCTAAAAAGGATACTAAGCTTCTAGAAAACAAAATTAGTGAATTTCTTTTAATGATTGAAAATGAAAATTTCAGTGTGAGAGCTGCTGCCAGAGCTGTTGACATACCTTACTTAACTTTACACTATCCCTTAATGAAGTTAAAAAATCCAGCAAAATTAACCCATGTGGGAACTCTTATATTTCAGCAGAACACGAGAATGAGTTGGCTGATTGCCTAAAATGTATGGCACGATGCAAAGATTTTTGGAAAATTTAAAGTGTTAATCTTTCTTCTTACTTTTAAATAAATCGTTTTACTAGTTGATTAAACATATCTTTTTGGTTTATTTGTTTGATCTTGACGTCTTATTTGTTAATTACCATTATATAATTATTTTTAAACAGCTCCTTCACAATAAAAACTGGTGATCAGTAACTACCCCAAAAGTGATCAGGAATTACCCCAGAAATGGTAAGACCAGGGGTAATTCCTGATCACTAAAAATTTAAAATATTTTAAATTCTAATTAGATTTTCAAACAAAAGAAGGTGGCATAGAACTCACCTTATATAGCCTCAAACTTCCAGTAAATATTAAAATTCTATCTTGAATAGTTTTTTCACAAAATAGATGTTTGCATTTTTTGATCAGGAATTACCCCAGGTCACCCTACATTTACAATATTTTCTTTGTATTTCCTCTTATTTAATGCTGCATTGTGTTAATAAGCAAATTGCAGACCTCATTAAAAAAAAATTAGGACATTTTTGGTAGAGTATATGTTTACCAGACAACTTTTAAAAGGTCAAATAACAGATTAAAAAAGGTTTAATTTGCTCTACTCAAGTACAATAAGGGCAAAATTTATTGCAAAAAAATAAAATATTCGATTTTTAAAAGTTATTTCAGTGAAATTCTATTAATGGAGCACTGAGCAACTCATTAGTTTGAGATCAATAATTAGAAAATTTAAATAGAACTATTGCATTAAAAAATAATCAGCAACAATTAGTTAATATTCGTTCATACCAATATTAATTTAAAATTTGCAATTGAGTTCAGGTCTTCTTTAATCAGATATTATAAAATGGGGTTTCAAACATTTTGAAATAATAACACAGTGAAGATGCCTCTTAGCATTTGTGTTCAAAAGTAATTTTCTGGGAGAAGTATTAATTAAAATAAAAAGATATTCAATGGAAATCCTAAATCTTAAGATTATTCAAACAGATTATGTTGAGAACTGCTGTAGTATTCTTAGAAAATGGGATGTTCTGAATAACAGAATCAGAAATATAAAAGTTAAAATAAATGCTAAGAAATACAAAAAGCTAAGAATAAAGGACAATATTTTTTAACAAGAAAATCAGAAATTTCAAGGACAATACAAACTCTGATATTATTGAACTTAAAACTCTATTATGTTGAAATGAAAATACTAGTTAATGTTAATTACTAGAAAGAAAATAGTTTACAATTTTATAGGCAACCGATGTCATTTTTGTACCTTTTAATAATTCCTTTATTTTAAAGTATTTTCAAATTATTATTTATATAAAATAAATACAATATATTGTCTTAAATACATGGAAGTTTGTCTTGATTCAAATTTTATTACATTTAAGGGATTGAAAAGAACAAGAAATCAATGGATTGATATTCAAGAGATTGAAAAAAATTTATGTTTGATAAAACTTAATACTAATATTATAAATCCTATACAGCTAAATAATGATATTAATTAAATACTGAAATATAGCATTTTTAAATTACAGACAACCACAGGGAAAATCACTCTTTAATATACTCATCTCACTAAAATAAATTTTAAATGTTGAGTATTTACTTTGAATGTTAAGAGGAGTTATAAAGTAATATAAAAACATATTTAAAAATATTCACTTTTATTATTTTGTTAGCATATAGAAACAAAAGTGGATACTTTTAAATTGTTTATTGAAAACATTTAATAGATAAACAGAATAAAAGACTTTAGAATGGTTAAGTTAATTTCAATGAAGGGCATAAAATATTATTCAACATATTGTTTACAAAAATTTATAAAAAGCTAGTTTGAACCAAAACAAACGATCCAGATTTTTGGGATATTTAAAAAAAAAAAAATTCCAGCCCTGTGTCTGTCATACATTAATTGTATGAACATAGAATTAAAAAAAAAATTGTTCGGAGTTTTGAATGTGAATTTTTGTGTGAAATATGAAAAGCATTGTGTGAAATGTCAAATATAAAAGTGAAATGTATAAAGACAACACTGATTTATAAAAAGAAAAAAATTACCTATTAAACATATATTCCAACCCAAAGAAGAAGAAACAATACTCCAAATCCCAGGAAAATTGCAGCAACCAATGATATCAAAAGCTCTTTGAAGACATCTCTTGTAAACTTTGTTGAAGTCACTTCATAACTTAACAAATATTAAGAAAGATAATGTTTTAACAAAACTAAGTACTAAACCATTGTACAATGTACTATAAATAGAAACGATTATAAAAGATTAACAAATACCCAAGTTGACAGTTCAAAATGTTTACAAAATATACTAATTTAAAACTACATAATAAAAGGTAACCATTCTAAATAGACACAAATAAGCTAGTTTTTTTTTTTTAAATGAATCAATATTACTATATAATTTTAACACTAGCACAAAGAAAACCATACCTATTTTTGATAATAAATTTAAATTACCACATTTTTAATAGGTATAATAGAAACCTAAATAAATTCTTTTCATTTAAAAATTTCATTGTATTGTCTTTTTAAAGAAACACTAAAAAATAATAAAAATTGCAAATGAATATTTCAATTTATCACAAAAATATTCATTTAAAAATTTGAGTAACCATGCTAAAACAGAATAGCGATGGAATAAACACAAAAAATATCTACTTTCTCTTCATAATCAAACTAGATTTTTTACTAGTTGAGTGTTGTTCCAAAAACGTTAAATTTTGCCTGAGAAAAGTGGTAAAAATTCCTCTAACGTTGAATCGCCTTTTTAAAGAAACACTAGAAAATAATAAAAATTTCAAAGGATTATATTTTCAATTTATCACAAAAACATTCATGTAAAAATGTGAGTAACCATGCTAAAACATAATAACAGTGAAATAAGCACAAATAAACAAGTTAAATTTTTTTAATTAATCAGTGTTTCTACATTATTTCTATATATACAAAGAAATATATACTTTCTTTTCATAATCAAAATTTTCATGAATTTTTTAGTAGATTTCATTATAAACAAAAAAACTGCCAAAATCACTACCATGTAATCAACCAACACGTCAACGTCGCAGAAATTGATATGAGAATCCTCTACTTCACGTTGCTGCACTCCCCCGTGATTACATCATTGCACTTGATTGGTATAAATAATAATACAATAACTATAAAGGTTCAAAAAAAATTAGCCTACTTGCAGAAATATTTTTAATAGAGATTTTGTGTTCACAGAAAATTTTCCATTGTATCCAAGTCTGGTAGCCTGATAGTTCAGTACTTAAATGAATCAATAAAATCAGATTTTTCAGTTTAAACTAAGTTTTCTTCTTCTCTTCTCATTGGCACGACAGCCCAGGATGGGCCTTGGCCTTCTCAACAAGCCTATGCCAAGACATTCTTCCCTTATCCAAGGTTCTCCAGTTAATTATCTTTCAAATTTGTAGGTCCTTTTCAAGGCAGTCTAAAAATCTTAGGTTTGGTCATCCTCTTTTTCTTGTACCTGTTGGCCTGGCACAGAAAATTAAACTAAGTTTAGTGACCCTAAAATAAATGGTACTGCAATTAAAATTTACTGTTCGCTAAGAACTTGCGTTCTTTGCAACCCAGAAGTTATATTTTATTCAAGTAAAACTATCTATAGTGTTTTATTGGCATTTTGTAATATTTGGGACAGTAATTTTACAAAAGTTGATGGTAATTTTACAAAATATATCAAATGTTTGCACATTAAATATTTTAAGAAATACACTCACTGTATATATGAAAACATTTAATAG